GGCGGGCAGATGCTGCCACAGCCCAGAAGCAGCCCCAGACATAAGGGCACCGTGGATGACCATGGCTGTGTCTAATTAACATTAATCTCCAGAAACGGGTGGCCAGCTGGTTTTGGCTTGAAGACCATAATTTGCTGATTCTTGGTATAAAATATTTGAAGGACACACTTAAGTTTATTCATACACACATGCATTCATAAATTTGTGCCCAACCATATAGAATATACATAAATTTCAAACGTATTTGAGACATCTAAAAAACTGATCATTTGTTTTTGCCAAAATCAGAATCTTAGCAAATTAGCCTAATAGAGTCTTATCTTTTGCACCTGCTGATCACAGTGAACCCTGTGAGCCCTTCCCCTGTGTCATGTCTGGAACAAACACTCCATAAACCCACCCTGCCCCAGCACGCATCCAGCCTCCCAGCCGCCGCTGACCACCGGGGAGAGCTCACAACAGGCTGGCCATGAACAGGAATCTGGCTGGTTGATATGTTCATCTCCTCCATGTTTTTGGGGAGCTCCCCTCTCCTCAGTCTGAGGTAGAGGCAACTCACTCCTGGGTCTCTAGAAAATCTCAAGTTGCTGGGGAAGAGGACAGGAAGCCATTTGTTCTGTTTGCTGTATTCTATCCATTCGTGTTTTGAGTGCCGACTGTGTTCTTGGCGAGCAGGTGTGGGGGTGTCAGGGAGATGGAGTGGATGTGGACGGTGCTTTGAGCCATGCTCCGGCCCCAGGAGGGAGCTCCACTAAGCCACTGTGTGGTGAGTGGGGTGGACAGAGCCGGGAGCCCCCAGCTCCCCAGGCAGTTCAGTGGTCACTTTCTCTGTGAAGCCTTCTCCAGGCAGAGCCACCATCCCCATGTCCCTGCACATCTTGGTGACAGCCCTGGCCACACATGTGCTATGTTTGATGCCACCCGCCCTTGGCCGTGTGCCCCCAGCCTCCAGCGCAGAGAACTCCGTACACGTTGGCTGAACTAGCAAGTGAGGCAGGTGTCTTCAGAAAGGTTCAGATAAAGTGTGTGGGAATTCTGAAGAGGAGAAATCGCTTTTCAGGTGGGGGAACCAGGGGAAGCTTTGTCGGGCATCCTTTCAATAGGACGTGGAGCACTGCCAGGAGTAGAGGGGAGGACAGAGAGAGCCACAGGGATGTTCTGAGACAGTCAGCTCTTCTGTTTGGGGCCCTTCTGGGTGGTGTTAACCGGCTGCATCCCTGGACTCAAGCGGCAGTTGGGGGAGGGGGACAGAGAGAGAGAGAGAGAGAGTCCCACAGCGTTCACAAGAGATTATTAGGACTCAGTTCTGCTGTCAGCCATCCACACTGGAGGATGAGAACACCCAACTGCAGCCTAGAGCCTGTGGTCCAAGGGAGGGCAAGGGTTAAAGAAAGATGCAGAGAGAATCGGAGGCTCTACAGCAACGCAGGTGTTATGTCCGGCACAAGACCTGAGGAGGTGGGGGAGCAGCCTGATGCCACAGCCCCCTGCCGCTTACAGGCTGGGGTAATTTCTAGGCCTGGGGTGGGGGTCTGGGCGTGATGGCTTGCTGCCTGGGAGGCTATTGATAAGCTGCTTATGTGATCAGGTGGGTTGGACCTTTTTATGGTGGGACGTGACAGGCTGTTTCTTGGACCTTTGCCCAGCAGGTGTGGTAAGGATGTTCCTGTGCCTGGCAGTCGGGACGTTAGGGACGTTTCTCACGGCCAGAATCTCCATGGAATGTTTTGCTGTGACCAAGGTCTGTGAAATGGCAGGGGGCTTATAAAATGATGAGGTTTTGGGCTAACACCCACCATCCTGTCTTGAATGGGTTGGCTGGAACTGTTGACTGTCCATTCTGTTATTCTGATAAAGGGGGTTACTTTCTCAGAGGCCACATACACAGACAGTGCTGGGAAGTGACCCATGAGTACCCTGAGAAATTTACCTGTTCAGCCGGATTTCAAGTTGGCAATAAACATTCAGTCAGAAACCCAGGTGAAACTCTGGCCCTGAGAGCAGAGAATTGTTTTTCTCTTTCCCAGAGTTCCACACGGTGGCGCCACCGAGCACCCACTTCGTCCTCCTGGTTGCCAGAGGTGGTTCCACGTGGCTGGGCCGTCCTTGCCGGTTCCCGCCCTTCTTTAGGCTGTCTGTCCCACATGGGCAGCAATCTTACAGCTTTTTGAAAAAGAGATCCTCACCAAAAGCTTCTGAAGGGCAGAGGCTTTTCTTATTTCATTTGCATTCTTCTCTCTCTCCAAGGCCTACCAGAGAGCGCTGCACAAAATCGTAACGGGGGGGTGAAATTGTTAATGGAGTTGGTAGAAACAGGAACAAATAAAAACAACTAAATTTTAGTAATGGGGAATTAAGTAAATCTTGATTCATATACACATGGAATCCCTGTGATGACACGAAATGGACATTTGGTCTTTGTCTCTGTTCCTGACACTGAGCATCTGAAACCCTTGGGATTTCCTGAATGACACGGGTGAGGAAGCTCTTTTTCTATTCATAACAAGCTCTTCCAGCCACACTGAGTTTGTGCTAATGCCGTGACTCTTGGTGGACCCCTAGATAGCTGCAGGATGGGGCTGGTTGCCAGAGGAACCAACCATGTGATTAGAGGGCTGGAGCTTTCAGCCCCACGCTGGGCCCCCAGAGAGCAGCTGCAGGAGGACTTCGCTCACCAGTGGCCAATTATTCAATCAGCCATGCCCAAATAACGTGACTGCCACAGAAACCACAAATGATAGGACTCAGAGAGCTGTCGGGTGGGGGAGTGTGGGGTGCAGGGAGGGTGGGCATCTGGAGTGGGCCTGGGAGCTCCATGCCACCCCACTGCTCTCTTAGTCAGAAATTGAATATTATCCTTCTTGAGGTCTTTCCAATCCTTGAGGTGTCTAAAATCCTGGGTATGGGCAGGAGCGTGGGTGGGAGTGCTTTAGGGCCAATTTCAGGTAACCTCCCTTCTCAGTTTCACCAGAAAGCGCTACTCCGCTGCTGTGGTGGCTTCTGTATGTCACAGGGCATTGCTTTCAGTAACTGGTCTGCACACCGAAAGACATGCAGGCCATGTTTGTCAAGGTCACAGTCTTGCCCTGGCCACGGGTGGTGGGGTTGTGACATAGGAGATGCATGTTTGGCACCATGTTGGTGGTTTTTTTCTAAGTACAGTACCTGAAGTTTTGTCTGGATGTCTGTCTCCACCTACAGACTATGAGTTGCTGGAAGGCAGAATGTTATTCATGTCTGTCCCCTTTCTCCACAGCACCAAGCACGGGTGCACCTAGCACCTAACCCATGGCAAAATTCTGATAAACATTAAGGAAGAGTTGACATTGAAATGTATAAATAAAAGTAATTTAATGGCTAACAATAATGGATTCATAAGACAAATTTTGATATGTGCAAACAGATGATCGCTATGTACTCACTAAAAATCAGGCTCGCATTCATGAAGCATGTGAGCTGTCCACAGCATAACATTGAGTAAAACGTGCAGCTACAGCACAGCTGTGCCCCCCTGGGAATTGGCATGGTGTAGGGGGGTGTTTTGTCCCAGAGCGAACAGAGTGAAGAGGAGCGCAGTCTGCCCCACCATCCCCAGCCACAGGTCAGAAATGAAGTTTCTTCTGAACAACAAGCTATTTGTTTATCCAGCAGTTGTCCAAGGGTGGACCATATGGGTATACCAAGTTTGTTCATTAGACAGCTTTAAGGTTTTGCTTTTATGTTTGTTTCTTGGTTATAGATGCTGCAGTGGTGGACATTTTCCTGATGATTTTTTTTCCTAACATCTGCTTCATTAATTGTTTTGGGATAAATTGCCAGGGGAATGATGGCTGAACCAAAGAATTCAATACAGTTTTTTTGTGGCTCTAGCTTGGCAGGGCTGATAAATTCAAGCCATGGGGAAGTTATTATGTTAAGTCAATGAAGACTCACCCAGCAAACTGAAAAATGTGTTGGCTTCAGTATCTACCTATGATTTTCTCTCCAACCTTCAGGGATGCAGATAGAGTCTCTGGTTTAATGACCTATCGTTTGGTGCCCCCTTCTGGAAGACTCAGTCATCAGCCTGTGTGGGCCTTCCCAAGGGAGCTGTGTGGGGTGAAATGGGGCCAAGGAGAAGGGGCCGGCTGGGAGAAGTCTTGTGTTGGGGTGAGGTGGCAGACGGGACCCCACCTGTCACTCAAGGGCCCAGGTACCATCTGTAGGCATGGGGAGCCTACAGGCCTGGCCCCCTCAGAGTAGGGTCGCTGATTTGCTGATAAACAATTTGTTTCTACCACTGTTCTTTCACCTCCATCCATCACCCAAATGATTAAAAAAATCCTCTATTAGCTTCCTTCCTTGTTCGTGTATGGCAGCCTTGCCCTGGCCCCGGCGGTAGGGGTTGTGAGGTGGGGGATGCATGTTTGGCACCACGTTTGTGGTGCTTTTCTAAGTACAGTAGGTTGGAGGTTTGGCTAAGATGTCTGTCTCCACCTGCAGACTATGAGCTGGATGGGACAAAGTTGCAACTGTAGCTTGGCACGGGGTCTTCGGATCTTGTCTCCCTCCTGCCTCTCCAGCCTTGTTCCTTCTGACTTCTCATGGGGCACCCTGGGGGCTCCGTCCCCTGAGTAGGTCGTGCTCTTTCCACCCCCAGGCCTTTGCCTGTGCCATGTCCTCTGTCTGGACCTCCTGGCCCTCCAGTCCTCCTTGCAACTCAAAATGTCTCTTCAAGTCCCAGCTGAAATATCACCTCCCTAAGGAAGTCTCCCTCAACTTCCCAGGCAGAAGCTGTTCCTTCCTGTGTGCCCAGAGTCACTCAGTTGGCTTGCATGTGCCTCGTGACAGTGTGTGACTGTCCCCTCACACGTCCCCACCCTGTGAGCTGGCCCTGTGTCTCATGCATATTGCCTAGCGGAAGGCCTGGCACACTGTAGGTACTCAAGAGTATTTATTGAATGAATGAAGGAATGAATGTGCTTCATGACAGTGGAATTTGGGGGTTCGCTAATTGAGGGAGGACATCCCAGGGAGATGTAGTTAAGTGTGTGTCTCACCCCACCCAAGCCCTTGAGCTGGGAGGATGAGCTCTGAGGGAAGGAGACAGATAATGGGACCTTTTGTGATTCTTAGATGCTTCAGATCCTGATCCGAGGGAAGTGGGCCCCTAAAACATTAATCTTAGGAAGTTAAGTGTTGTGATGTCATCTCAGGAATGCAATTATAAGGCTCGGTCCTGCTGCAGAAGGACATGTGAAGCGACAAACACTGGCTGCCAGAATTGGAGGTGCTGAGGATGGGTGGGGTGTGGGGCTTGGCGGCCGGTTCCCAGCTCCCACAGCCGCCTCTTGCCTGAGCGCTGGGGTATCTCTGGGATCAACTACAGGCTGGATCTGCGGATTCGGAACCTCACCCCAACAGTGACAGGTCAGTGCCTCTTCCAAGAGAGTTGAGGGAGTGGGTGTCTGGGTTGGGTCTGTGCAGGTTCTCAAAAGCAGAGGTGGGCAGCTTCCGTGTTTTGGAGAACATGCACAGTGTGGATGGGCATCTCAGCAGCACAACCGTGGCCCAAGAGGGAGTTAGGATCGGAGCTGAAAGCATGCCTTTGGGCTTGTTACCAAAGACGTGGGTTTGAACGCAGCACCGGGTGGATCAGTTGTGTGATCTTGGGGAAATTGTTTATCCTCTCTGAGTTTCAATTCCCCCTTAGGAAAATGGGGGTAATGGTGCCTGCCTCCTCTGACCCTTGTGGGTGTTACATGGGATATGGGGTAATTTGCATAAAGTGCTCACTGGGTGCCTGGCTGGCTCCATGAGCAGTGGAAGCAGCATTGTCCTGACTCTTATCTGGAGAGTCCAGGGAACACAGGTGACCTGACAGGGTGATCTCGTCAGGATCTCCATAGGAGGTGAGGACTGGGGGGTCACAGGCATCAGAGCACCCAGAGAGGCTGCACAGAGCCTCCAGGACGGCCACGGGATGTGAGGGCTGAAGGGTGGTGCTGATGGCACGGGGACTTCCTCTGGAGAGGGTGGCACAGTGCAGTGGCGGCAGGAGCAAGGGCGGGATCCATGTGCTGTCTATGGATTCAACTGGGAAGGAAAATAATGGCTCAAGAGTAGGGTGGACTTTTCTGTGTAGGGCAGTTAACTCTAATATTCTGTTTGTTGCACAAGACAGTTTATGATAGTGCGGATTCTGCCTTTTCAAGGGTTTAAAAATATTTCTATTGGAAAACAGCCCAAACCCTGTCTTGCCTGAGTCTTTAGTTTCTCCTCATTCTTGACTGCAGTAGGCTGGAGGGAGGAGGAGGCAGCTCCTGTGCCCAGGAGGCCCTCAGTCCCAGAGAAGGGACAGAGCCCTGTCCTGAGACTTTCCAGGAAAGCTTCTTGCAGGGCAGTGACTTTGAGTCACGTTTTCAAGGGGTCAGATGGAGTATAGGGACCCCGGGGGCCTGAGACTAGGTGCGGGAATGTGGGCAGGTACAAGAGGGCGGAAGGTTCTTGGAGGAAGCACCATCTGCTGTGGACCGGCTGGGACAAGGCGCTGCTCTCTCTTCCCAGACTCTCCACTGTCCCCGGCGGCTGCACCCCCACACCTCCCGTTGTGCCCCCTGCCTGGGGCTAGGGCCCGCCCGTCATGACAGACACCCCAGTGGAGGAATCTCTCTTCCAGATCATCCGCTGCTTCCACCAGTACGCGGCCCTGCAAGGCGACGTGGAGACCTTGTCCCTGCAGGAGCTGCAGGCCCTGCTCATGGACAATGTGCCCCGCTTCATGGACAGCTTGGTGCGCAGGGTCTGGGATCAGGGTGGGGGCTCAAGCGGGGCCAGGGCACTGGTACAGGGTGGGTGCTGGGGTGGCAAGTGAGTGTCAAAGCGAATAGTGAGGGTATTACAGAGGGCACTGTCTCTTATGAGAATTTTTTTTTTTTTTGAAATGGAACCTGACTCTGTCGCTCAGGCTGGAGTGCAGTGGTGCGATCTCTGCTCACTGCAACCTCCGCTTCCCAAGTTCAAGTGATTCTCGTGCCTCAGCCTCCGGAGTAGCTGGGATTACAGGTGCCCACCATCACACCTGGCCAATTTCTGTATTTTTAGTAGAGATGGGGTTTTACCATGTTGGCCAGGCTGGTCTCCGACTCCTGGCCCCAAGTAGTCCACCTCGGCCTCCCAAAGTGCTGGGATTACAGGTGTGAGCCACTGCGCTTGGCCCCGAGAATCTTTAATTGAGGAGACGGTGGGATCTGCGGCCACAGAGGGGTGTTCCCAGCACAGCTATGTTTCTTGTCCTTCCCCGTCCCCGAGCTCTCTGCCTGGCCTCACTCCAGCCCAAACTTAGTGGATTCCTGAAACTCAGTCCTAACCACAAACCTGTGGATGCCTCTGCCCCTCACCCGTGCCACCTGGCCAGCCCTTTGAGCTCAGCGCCTTCTCCTTGGCTGCACAAGCCTGGCCCCCCTGCCCCCATGCCTGGAGGGAGGATGGCGGGGGCTGCTGTGGTCCCCCTAACCAGGGTGGAATAGGGTGGGGTGGGGTAGGGAACATGACCTCCCCTTCTACCTCCTGTCCACAGAGCCTCTCAGACCTGGACAGGCCCAGGACCCAAATTCAGGCTTAGACAGCTCCTCAGGCCCTGCCCATCTTCTTTGTTATCAGACCCAAGCCCATGATTACTGGGCTCCTTGGGGACTACAAGGCCTGGAAAGGTGTCTGTGGGTTGCTGCTCTTTATCCATGCCCCGGGGTCTTGGGACCATCATCTCCAGAGGACTTCTGGTCCATCCTGACTCAAGGCCACTCCATCCAGGAAGACTCTCCTTCGGTCACTTCCCATCTCCCCTGCCTAATGTTGGGAAGCACCAGAGGAGACAGCCTTGCCTCTAGAGAGGGATGGAGCGAGGGGGCGGTGATTGTGGGTGGTCCTGTTTCCAGGAAACCTAGTCCTTTCTAGGGCAAACTGTGCCAGGACGGCCTGCACTTGTGGGGCTCACAGCCCCACCCGGGGCACGGGGCCCTTGGGGACAGAACCTGGGCACAGAGGGCAGCCCTGGGGAAGGTGGGCTGAGGTGAGGGAATCCAGGAGAGCCTGCCCCAGGCGGGAAGCCTCCAGCTCCTCTGAGTAACCAGCTTTGTGGGGCAGTTAAGATCACAGGAACAGGTGGCAGGGGTGGGCCCTGAGGGGACAGAGAGGCTGCAAAGCTGCCCACAGCTGCTTCCCCCAAGTGCTTTCTAAGGTTTCACACTGGGCTCCTCATGCCCACCAGCCAAATCTTGCTGAAATCTGCCTCACCCGCCCCACCCAGTGCTCATGAGGCCCGCCTTGTCTCTTCCCGCTCTGTCCCCGTGCTGTGCTCTGGCCCTGACTTCCTTCATGCGCTTCCTCCTGCCTCCAGTGCCTCTTTGCTCTCCTCTACCATCCCCACTTCTCAACCCTTAGGGCCATCGCTGTGCCACTTGCCTCGGAACAACCTGGACAACTCCCAGGCGCCTGGCTTTGTCCTTCCCCTTGTTCTGTGCTCTATGGGGGCCCAGCGCCCAGGGGGTCAGAGGTTTGCATGCTGTGCATCTTCCTGGGAATTGCCTCTGATGCGGGCAGATGCACAGGCATGCAAACCTCTGACCTCCTGGGCACAGCCCTGCAGCAGTGCTAGGGGTGCGGACTCCAGGGCCAGGTTGACTCTGCTCTTGGAGAGCTCCTGGTGTGGAGGAAGGCACTGCCCTGCCGTGAGGAAGCCCTGGCTGGGCTGTTCCTCCAGAGGAGTCTGCAGCCCAGCTGCAGTGAAGAGAGGTGTCAACAGCTGCTGATGGTGGATGCGAAGTGCATCTGGGATGCCATTGCTGCCTGGGGACTGCAGGCAGTCTGCACACACGTAGCTAGCTCCAGGCTCGGTTATGGGGACACCCGCCATGCCCCTGTCTCTTGAGCCTGACTTTGCAGCATTCGGTGTCCTGGTCACTGACTATTGGAGTGAGGAGTCATTTCCTGTAAGCCCTTGCAGGCCAGGCCAGGCCGCAGTGACCCCATCCCCTCCCAGTGGACGGTGGGGAGCCTGGCAGGGGGGCTGCCCGCCGGGGTGGGTAGTTGACCCTCTGCCCACTCCTCAGGGCCGGAAGGAGCCGTACTATATCACAGAGCTGTTCCGGGCAGCAGACAAGAACAAGGACGACCAGCTCTGCTTCGACGAGTTCCTCTACGTCTTGGGCAAGCTGGCGAAGGACTACCACCTGCAGTACCGCCGGCAGCTGTGCGCCCGCCACTGCGCCCAACACAGCCTGTACTAGAGGGGCTCAGGCAGCCTCCTGCCCACCGGAGCCTGACCTGGGAGGAGGCGTGACCTGGCGATCGGCAGCTAAATGGAGAACCCAGCTCTGTGTGTCTGTGTGTGTCTCTGTGTGTGTGCACATGTGGGTACATGTCTGTGGAAAGGACACAGTGTGAGAGAGAATAAAGCAATTTCCTACATATTTCCAAGGACGTGTCAGCACTTGGATCTAGGCTTCACCTGCAGTTCAGAAAAAGAAGGTTTGGTCCCAACCTGGGAAAGATCTGTTTTAGGTGGATGAAACAGCCCTTGCCTCCAGGGAGCCCCTGTCTGATGGGGGAGACACAGCTTCTATCTCCAGGGAAGATCTGTCTGAGGGGTGAGACACAGCTCCCATCTCCAGGGAGCCCCTGTCTGATGGGGGAGACACAGTTCCTATCTCCGGGGAGACACAGCTCCCATCTCCAGGGAGCCCCTGTCTGATGGGGGAGACACAGCTCCTATCTCCAGGGAAGACCTGTCTGATGGGGGAGACACAGCTCCCATCTCCAGGGAGCCCCTGTCTGAGGGGTGAGACACAGCTCCTATCTCCAGGGAGCCCCTGTCTGAAGGGGAGACACAGCGCCTGTCTCTATGGAGCCCCTGTCTGAGGGGGAGACACAGCTCCCATCTCCAGGGAGTCCCTGTCTGAGGAGTGAGACACAGCTCCCATCTCCAGGGAGTCCCTGTCTGATGGGGGAGACACAGCTCCCATCTCCAGGGA